TTTAAAAGGAGGTGGAAGTCAATCAGGAACAAGTCAATCAGCAGGTTATGATGATGATGATGATGATGATGATGATGATGATGATGATGATGATGATGATGATGATGATAGCGAGTGTGATGATGATGATGACCGTGACTCTGGTGTTGATGATGGCTGGTAGGAGATAACTTCTTTTCTTTTCAATCGTCATCAACAATTTTTAAATGGAGACTTCTTTCTTTTTAAAAATTTATCACTCTATTATCACGTTATCGTCATCATCATTTCATCTTTCTTTTGAATCGTCATCATCTTTATTTTTATCATCATCATCATCATCATCATGACCACCACACAGCTTGGCCTACTCTACAGTGAAAAAGAATGGATGGATGAATGGGAAAATCTGATAAAGCTGGCATCTCCAGAGCCCAGATCCATACAAAAGTTTGTTAACCCCATGACCTCTCAACCTCATTAATATTCATAATCTTAGCTAATATAAACTATGATAAAACATTGGCCCATCTCATTAATATTCATAAGTTCAGCTATTAACTTTAATATGTTTAGCTGTTGAACATTGTAACGATATTTTGCCCTGTCTTATTGAAATTAGAATGCGTTAGCTTAGCAGAAGTAATGTAATTAATGTAGTGTAAAATGTATATTTACCAATTGATTTTCAGCCTGCATAAGACGACTACAACTGCTGTACCAGTGTCAACTTCAACTCCACAAACATCAGCGGTGACGCTAACAGCAGCAGTAGCAGTTACAACTTCAGCTAGCAACACCGTTACACAACCATCTTCACAATCATCACCACCAGCTACAACAACCACAGCAGTCACAACAAAAACGCCAAATGATACTTTCTATGAAAGCCTAGAAGAGATTCACATCTTCGCCCTCTGCCACATTCTAAGAAGGCCCATCCTAGTTGTGGCCGATACAATTCTGCATGACAGCAACGGAGAGGCCCTGGCCCCGATATCTTTCGGGGGGGTTTATTTACCCCTCGAAATTTCGCCATCTTGTTGTTACAAGTTGGTCATTTGTTCGTGGTTTGTTTTACTTTTCTGCTATGAAAATTCAGCAGTACTACAGCATCGTAGAGACATATGCAGTCGCGTTAACATCGTCATTTGTAGTAGCATCATCAACGATCACAGCGATCATAGTCATTAGCATCACCACAATCACGTTCACCATTGCAATCATATCATGCATATTCATCACAGGTCTCCACTCATCCTGTCATATGACTCAGCACATTTTTCAGCCATTCTTCCGCTCAATTCCGAGTTCAAAGTTCAAGAAGATGAAGACCTTAGAGCTGCTATTGAAGCTGCTGCCGCTGCTGCTAACAATAATAGTAATAGTAATAATAATGAAAGTGATAATGACGATAGTCAGCTGATTGGTTAGAGCATTTTAGCTTAAAATATTTTCATTTTTTTATATTCTTCCGTCATCTTGAAGTAAAGTTATTTTTCATTTGTTTGTACACGCAAATATTTTACATTCTTTCATTTTTTTTATTTCTTTCATTCATCTGTTCATCTGTCAGTCGATCGCTTTTTCACTCTTTCGTTCACTCATTCATCCATTTTTCTATTTCATTTTCCACTTATTCATCCATAATCAACCCGATCATTATCTTCTCTAATTAATTCATACATTTACTCATTTATTCATTCGTATATTCACTTTTTGACCATTCATTCATTCATTCATTCATTCATTCATTCATTCATTCATTCATTCATTCATTCATTCATTCATTCGTTCATTCATTCTTTCATTCGTTCATTCATTCTTTCATTCGTTCATTCATTCTTTCATTCGTTCATTCATTCTTTCATTCGTTCATTCATTCTTTCATTCGTTCATTCATTCTTTCATTCGTTCATTCATTCGTTCATTCATTCATTCATTCGTTCATTCATTCTTTCATTCGTTTATTCATTCATTCATTCAGTCGTTCATTCATTCATTCGTTTATTCATTCATTCTTTCATTCGCTCATTCTTAGCCGCAATACCATTGGTTGACTCATCCTTGAACTTGCTCCCAGTACACTTTCTGGTCGATCCAATCAGAAGTAAAAGTTGCAATAACATCACCACAAAGGACAACAAAAACATCAACAACGATACCAATAACAATAATAACATTAGTAACGATAATAACATTAGTTTTAATGCAATTGTGGATGCAGTAAATTTGAATGATGACAAAGAGTATTGCATTGATGTCCTGAAAAGCTATCTCGATATACAAGAGTTACCTTTAATCTGCACATCTAATAGAAACAACAACAGCAACAACATTAACATTAATAACAACAACACAAACGTCATCACAAGCATCAACAGTTGCTACTTTACGCTGAAGATAAAGTCAGGGAGCTGCAACAACATCACTGACATTGCATCAAACAACATCGACAACAGCAACAACAACAACAACAACAGTCTGACTAAAAGTGGATCTAAAGAAAACGTAAACAACGGAATGATTGTTAATGATAATCTCCTAACCAACGAGCAGCTAATGATGGCCGACATACACGGAAAACAGCATTCCTCGTCGTTGTCGTCGTCACCTTCGTCAACATTGTCGACAAAGACTAAAGGCAAATTTCCAAATGTTGCACATCAGATTGTCAGGACTTTCAACAGTTTAGGCAGAAGTATGAGACGTAAGGTAAGTTGGATTGAGGTTGGGGATGTGTAGTATCGTTATTGTTTTTATTATTTTTTTTATTTTTAGGAATATTATTTGTATAAATGTTCATAAAAGCCAAGTTTTATGATAATACTTAGGTCAGACAGAGTTCAAGTAGTCCGTTCAAAAAGTCTTCCAACAAAGTTAGTGCAACAGTTGTCGCTCCAGATTTGAAAATTATGGAACACCAATCTAATCCCCATCAATATAATCAGCAGCAACAGCATCAACTACATCAGCAGCAGCAGCATGTCGTTGACGCAGCAACTACAACAGCATCTGCAACAAACACAACCTGCACTACTAATGTTAATGACAACGACATCAATAACTACAACAACAACAATGATAATATCAACAATAACATCAATAATAATTACAACAACAGCAACAATGCAACAAATACGACAATCTTATGCGCCAGGCTAACAGAAAACCTTCAATCATACCAACGTGAGATTATACAAAACTATCTCGACGACGCTTTTCAGAGGTTCCAGACGAGCAAACTACAAAATGGCCGCCAGCAACAGCGCGAAATCATGATGTCGGCCAGCGATTTTGAGTCTTTGGTGGCGATGGAATGCGTCAACGAGGGCTGTGATGGTCTAGGAAATGCACAGACGAGTTATCTCTGCTTCGAATGCTTCGAGAGGCACACTAAAGAAGAAATGGAATTAGAGAATAATAACAACAACAATAATAATAACAACAACAACAACAGTAATAATAATAATAATAATGGTAGTAGTAGTAGTGTGGGCGGTGGTTTTAAAAACTCTCTTAAGAATTTAAAGTTTAATATTCCGCAAATCATGAGGTTTAGTGATAATAACAACAATAACAATAACAACAATAATAACAACAATAATAATTGTAGTACAATTGGTAGTAATAGTAATGCTTTAACTGGTAGTAGTAGTTGTAGTAGTAGTCCATTCAATAGTAACATAAATGCAACCAATGTTAAATGTGACGGGGAAGTTGTATGGAAGGAGAGATCACTAAAAAGGACTGTGACGTCATCATCTTCGTCATCGTCAGCTGCTGTGGCACCTACCACAGCAGCTCCTCAGCTACCATCAAAATCATCATTGTCGTCGTCGCTGGCGGCAAAGCCACCACTATCTTCGTCAACGTCATCATCGCCGCAGATAAAAAAATCATCCAATCGATCAATAATTGCTGAGTCCTTGAAGAGAGTCGAAAGCGGTCCGAGGCTGCCGATGCTGTCGTCATCATTTCCGTCGTCGTCGCCGTCGTCTTCGTCGCTACCCCCTGCGTTTCCGGCGTCTTCTTCATCGTCACCGTCCTCACAGTTTAGAGGAGCAGACAGCAACAGCAGACAGCAAAAAATGAGGTCACACAACACCAACCACCACAGCCAGCTTATGGACATTTCATCGTCATC